ATATAATTTAAATATCTAATTGTCTGTGATTGAACCCATGACCTTCTAGTTAGTTGTTAGATTAAAAACCTCATTGTTAGCCAAATGGGCTAGCTCTAAATTATATATAATATTTAATTAACTATATCTAAATAATTTCATTAATTTAGACCCAAATGAAGAAATTTTATGTACACAATGTCCACCTAGAATGACACGTGTATGTGGTATTCATGGTTCTAGTCCTCTCCTTTTGTACACCTTCAAAACAATTGGGATCATGCGTTCTTCTATGATTGGGCTAGGCCGGGTCTCTATCAATATCCAATCGAGTTTCCGTAATAGGGCTTCAGTTTGTTGTACCATATCCAATAGATATTATAGTCGACACAAATTCAAGTGGAAAGTCTGCCGTCATAGATTTTAATAATTATTAAATCATGCTCAAAGTAGAACCGTGCAATACAATAATCCATCATCAGCGTGTAGTCATCTTGCTGATGGCCCATTTTGCTGCTCTAGAATAAGTTTCTCATTTTTGGATCTTTGATTTGTTTTAGATCTTATTTTAATTTGCAAATATTGCCTAAACATAGTCGATGTAATGAATTTTCAAGACAAAGTAATGCTAATCCAGATATGATATTTAGTGCAAAAACACCAAAATGGAAACACCAAAATGTGATGCAGTTTAGGAAGGTTATCACGTGCTCTTGGCAAAAAAAAATAATAAAAAAACAAATAGAAAAAAATGTTTGTGATTTAATTATTTAAAGATCAAAGGAAGCTGGTCGAAGAAAAACTGTACCATTTACATCTGAGATTCTTCAAAGATTATAAGGTCATGTAAAATTTCCATTTTTTTTTACTTTCTTATTTAGTATTTTCTTACCCCTTATAGGGGTGATTGATTGTGATACTTAAACCACGAGGTAATTTTCTTATATTATGCTTAATTTGCAATTGATTTTTGCTTTTTTGCGTTGTAGATGCATAAGATGTAAAAATCGAAGAAAGCAAGTTCAGCTAAGGGTAAATTCATGGTGAAAATATATCATAATATAGAATATAGATTATACATTTGTGATCGCACTTATTGGTATTGCTACTCATGCTATGAAAGGGACAGATGATGATATATATGCTGGAAGTGTTGCTCAAGTTATTGCTCGATAGACGTATTAGTTACATTCTAGATTTGTATATATATTTCAATAGTTTTATAATTTATTTGCTCAAAATTTGCCCCATTATGTAATATTGAATGATATCGCTGAGATTGTTTCTGTTGTTCTCATATATGTGGTACAATTAAGCATTAAGATGTAAATTATAACGCTTTCTTTACCTTGTGGTGAAGGAGTTAAGAAATTCTCATCGACTTAAGTGTGGTTATTCTTTTGCTAAATTTAGAGATGTCACAAGAATGGTTAATTAGTTGTAGTAAATACAAATTAAAGTAAGATGATTACACAAGTAAACTGAAATACATTGTTTTTTTTTTCCGTCTTTTCCTTTTGTTTTTGGTCCACCCTTCATTTATAAATCTGTTATAGAATCCTACTTTCATTACTTTGGATTACAATGGTGTATCTCTATTTTTTTTTTCTTTTTTCTTATTCATATATTGTAGTTTGGAAAATCTACCCAACATTTCTAGATATAACAACTTACTTTCTATAAAAAGTAGCAACGTATTTTCAAACATTTTAGAAAACTACCAAGATACTTTCCAAAAATTTATAGAAATAACAACGTGCTTCATAAATTCTAACAACCTACTTTCTAACCTTTTCTGGAAATAACAAAGTATTTTCTAATTTTTTTTATAGAAATAGCTTACGTACTTTCTAATTTTTTCTAGAATAACAAAATACATTCTATAAATATTCTATGTGTATGGCTGTGTGTGCAAGAAAGTTAACTCTAAAGATTTCCAATGGTCACATTGTCACAATGTTCAAGTAGGACCTTAAAGTTGTTCAACTCCAAAGATATATCAAAAAGGTAAGCTACGTTTTATACAATTAATATGTTTATTATACCATCCTACATCCACTTCTTATTATTACATGTTTTTTTTGGTTCTTGTAGATATGGTGTTTTTTGAAGGAAATAATAATGAATTTTAGTTTTTACCAATATACTTAATGTATTTCAGTTTTTCCCATATAGCAAATGTAATTTCACTTCCTTACTAATAATCGCAACATACTTGGTTGTTTACGGATAAAAGCAACATACTTAGAATTCCTTAATCATATAGCAATATACTTATATTTCTTCAAAGTTTCAAAAAATGGTTATTGAAATGCCAAAGTAATATAAATTAATCACACATGACAATATTCTCTATTTTGAGTCTTTTCTCCTTTTCCTTTATTTGTTGGTTAAACATATTTTTTTCTATTTAAATCAAACAAGACTAATGGCACGATCAATTAATTTCTAGATCCTGTATTTATGTTGCAATCACTATGAACTGAGATTACATAGCATCCTACAAACTGACATTACACAAAGAAACTGCAATTATAGAAACGTTAGGCCAAAATGAAAAACATGTTATTGGGCTGAGATTTATACTCCTCGGCCCTCGATTTCTTGATGCCTACTAGACCTGACAAACGTGTCGTGTCGTGTCGGGTTCGTGCCGTGTCAAGACATTAAACGGGTTGGGAGTGTTTGACCCTAACCCGACCCGTTTAATTATCGTGTCGTGTCGTGTCAACCCGTTTATTTTCGTATCGATTTCGTGTTGGGTTTCGGGTTAAGGTTTAAACCTTATAAATATGTTGTGTCATGCCGGGCTGAAACATTTTAAAGGTTGAAAAGTAAGAGTCATGGAGGAAAAAAATGAAAAAGTGAAATGCTGGAGTTGGGAGGTGGAACGAAAAAAAATTATACTCCCTCCGTCCCATATTTATTGTTCATTTTTGACTTTTGAAGTTTTTATTTTTCTAATTTGACATTAAATAATTTTATTTGTGTTATAAATTACTTGATAAAACATATAACAATG